CAACGAGATGCGTAAACTAGAATTTTTAAACGACATTTTAATTTCACTTCATATTTATTTTTATCTGTAAACTTATAGGGGCAATTTTGGTTTATTTCCATCAATTAATATTCTAACACAAACTTGTATTTCTTTTTTTTATAATAATAAATAATAAATATACTTTTAATTGCACACCTTTGATGAAAGTGTCGTTTTTCCCTTATCCTCTATTGATTTTGTCACCGCGTTCGGTACATCGCAGCAAGAGATACTCAAAAAAATACCCACATCTTGTCCGCTCTTTGATCTGATCGCATTACTCAGGCAGACATCCGCGTACGAATTGGGCGAATGTACTTGGTTTGTTCGAATAGATTTGCTCTGAGAAGTAATGTTTTCACTGGGGCATATTAATCCTGAAGAGACCTGATCCGTATTAGCTGGAATTGGGCAATTAGAAGGTTGTTTAAAGGATTGTGAAGATACTTGCAAAACTAAGGACTTCGAATCTGCATCTACTGGACTGGAATTATTGGCGATTGTCTGCGGTTCAGAACTCGAGGCACGAATCAGAGCATCGGATCCATGTTCAGCTGATTCATCAGCTGAGCTGTAATCTTGAACACTTCGGTAGTTGACCAATTTGCTATGCTTGTTTGTATGCTTTAATCGCTGTGATGGTCCAAGTAGTTTAATTTTTAGTTTCTCTTGGAACTGCTGCTGGCTGTTTCGTAGCTTTTCAATCCATACTTCCTGAAATAGTATAGTTTGCCTTAAATATGCTTGAAAAATAAAAATAATAAAACTATTCTTTCAAACTTTATTCTTAGTTGTTTAATAGAAAGCTTAAATTGGTTCGAAGTCTTTATATTAAATCCTAATTTATCTTTTCTTAAGCGTATTGTGCCAGTTTCAGAAAACTTCAAATATAAATATGTAACTTAATAATACTAAATGTACGATGCTTCCTAGGCTAAATTGTGTCTATCTTAACTACATTTTCCATTATTCGGACCATTTTATAATTCAACTTCTTAATTTTATGTTTATATATATAGCTTGTGAATTCTTAGGTAGAGTTCATATCAGAATCATACATTGGGAGTTAATTTTAATTGAATATATAGTGAGAATTCAAAAATAAGTGGTAGCCACTTAGTGATGCAGGGACTAATATGTCTCCATTTCTACATAATCCTTTCTGCAAGGGATGTAATAAGTAGTAGTTGACGCTGCTTATACTTAATTAGCGGAGAAGACATAAATAATTTTCGTTCTAGATTTAAACATGTTGGAAAAATATGAAATTTTAAAAACTTAGGTTATCATTTAATGAATCTTTGCTTAGAAAGGCTAAGTAAAATATGGAAAGTCGAAAAAAATTACAAAGTCTGATGAGTATGCATTATTGATTTAAATATGAATATATTATAAGCTTAATAATGTATGGACAGGAATAAAATTTTAAAGTTATTTATCCGACAATACATAAAGATTAACTATTCGTAGTATTAAGCAAATAAATACTATAAAATGTTCCTGTTAAAGAACAAAACCTTAAATTTTAATAAGTGTCATTTCAGAACTTCAGTAGATTGAGATGGAATGAAAGCTATTCTCAATTAAAATTAATTCTTGTCTCAACACATAGAGGAATGCTTTGAGCATTTTTGAATCCAGAAAGAGATCAATTCATAACACACGCATAAAGAAAAAAAACAAATAATTTCATAATCCCCAAATTGTGTAAACTTCTTACCAAATTTTTTACCGGGTTATTTAAGAAGCGTTATAATTTTATGTAATTATACTGAATCTATTAAACTTTGGTTAAGTTAATATACAAAGGGAAATGACTAATAAATATATAGGAGCCGATTTTAATGATTTTCTTGGGAAAACAATAAAGATAAAATAAATGAAGCATAATTAGGCATAATAATCCTTTAAATATCATCAAATATATGTTCTGGATTATTCCTAAAACTGTATAGTTTTTGAAAAAAATATTTCTACTCGAATGTCTGAATAAGAACATGGTATAGTTTTTTCTATGGCCGCAGTCAAATTTCGTTGTATAGAAGTTGTTTGACCTTATTTTTGCAACTTGGTCATATTGAGGAAAGATCTAGACGAACGCACCAAGTCAAAAGTCTATATTATGCATAATAATATTAATATTTGGACCGTTGACATGGTACCTTCTGAAACGTTTCGCCTGCTACGTAGTCAGCACCTTCAGTGAACATTGCCATTCTTAGCACCAGACTACGCCTTGTAAAAGAGGCAATTGAAGCCGATCCTTTGATAAATTATCTGCTCAACAATTATGGTATCCCTCCTTGCTCCCTTAGCTATTCACCAATCCTATATCCTCGTAGCACCTCTTCAATATCCCAATTTGTAAATTGCTTATTTAAATGTGCAATTATTTCATGATGACTCTTCATATCCCACACTGGCTTTCCACACCCTCCTCCCTCAATCCTCTTCTCATAGGTCAGATCAGAGTCTCCCTCTTACCCCGTAGGATCCATCAGCTGTATCCCTTGTTAAAGTATTTCAATCAACCTCTGCAACCCTATTTCTGCTACTTGAGATGTCAGTTGTCACACTCTGCCTCTGGAAAACTAAATTGTGGCTAAATAACCCTATAACTTCTCATGGTCAAGCGTTTGCTTAATGTACCACGTCTTTGATCAGGCAAGTCTACTTTTATCCAACTAACTCTACTCTCTGTCACATCTATGGT